ATCATGTTTTGGTACCACATAGATATTCCATTGTGATAAGTTATGTCTACAAATCATGTTAATCGATATATTTATCTTACTAGATGTTGTGCATCATTAATCCCATCATGTAGTATAAAAAAGTTATCTCCTTGACATTACTAATCATTAACTTAATTATTTTCTACTTTCATTTTCTTCTTTTCCATATTTCATAACAGTAACACTAGTTGTAAATAGACGGGCTAACACATTTTGACACACAAAATTGACAAATTTACTAACACGTCTTCTAATACAGGTGGAAGACTCACATGTATTGCTAGTGTGTCAACAACTATATCAATTTTGTGTATGCAAATAATTTAAGGAACTGTTATTAGCATTCTAAAAATTCATTTTGCACTCCTAACAAGTGTATTTTTCTTTTTAATTATTGAAAATTTAGAGTGCAAAATAAGATTTTTAGAGTGCTATGACATAATTGTTTTTATATTGTTTATTGTTTGTTTCTTTATTTCTGTGCCCGCCTTCTTCTGTCAGAAGGAAGGCTTTAAACTCATCTCTCTCTCTCTCTCTCTGTCTCCTTCTCCATCTCTCTCTCTCTCTCTCTCTCTCTCTCTCTCTCTCTCTCTCTCTCTCTCTCTCTCTCTCTCTCTCTCTCTCTCTCTCTCTCTAAACCTAGCTATGACATCGTGCCCTTGAAGCGTAGAAATCAGCAGTATTGCTTGCTCTCTCAGCTGTCTGCCTTTTTCCTGCGTTACCGGTTGTCTTCATTTCTTTGTTTCTGAGGGAATTTGGGAAGCCTTTCTAGCTACCGCAAAAAGGTATGCTACCTGCCTTTTGTTTTCTGTCTTCATGCATCTTTACACTTTATATGTTTCCCTTCATCTTTTCTTTCTTTTTTCCCAACTTTATTTCGACCTATATCTTGTTGAAATGGTATCAGGCTTTATACTTTAGGTTGATTAATACACAAAGATTGAAGCTTTAAAAACCAGAAAATCTAAGAAGGAAGAGCACAGAGAGTAAGAGAATGTTTCTGTATATTTTTCTATATCTCAGAAAAAAAAGCAGAGAATACAATCTTATATTCCACTAATCAGTCAAATGCTAAGATCCTATTTTTCAGGTAGCAAGGACTCATCTCCAGCCATACATACCATCGGAGGCCACGATCCTTCCACTTGGAGAAGGATCGGGTAACACAGTACATCCCAAAACAGATAAGAATAACAGCTGTAAGGTTTCTAAAACAAGAATTAAAACTAGCCGTTACAAGTTTAAAAAGCTAATGGCTATTTCTAAAAATAGCAGTTCTTCATCTTTTCGAATTCTTCATTCTCTTCACTTTCAACCTGCAGGATTGTCATCTGCAAGTTGATTTAAGCTTAGTATGCAGCTTAATTCTCAACAGCCTCTCCTAAGCTGCTTACTGGCTTAACTCCAAGCCTCAATCTCAAATGATTAAACCTGTCTTTTGGCAAAGCCTTTGTAAAAATATCTGCAAGTTGTTCTTCACTTCTGCAGAATTTCAAATCAATCACACCTTCTTGCAGGGTTTCTCTTATGAAGTGATACCTTCTGTTGATATGTCTAGTCCTCTGATGAAAAACAGGGTTCTTTGCCATAGATATAGCCGACATATTATCACAGAACAAAGGTGTTGCCTCAGTTTGCATCTCTCCAAAATCATCAAGAACAAACCTTAACCAAATGGACTGTGTTGTTGCCTCAGATGCTGAGACATACTCAGCTTCAGCAGTTGATAGAGCAACTGTGTTTTGTTTTACAGATGCCCAAGAAAACACTCCACTGCCAAAACTAAATGCATAACCAGAGGTGCTTCTGCTATCATCTTCACTTCCTGCCCAATCTGCATCACAAAATCCAATGAGAATTGCAGATTTGTCCTTCACATACTCAATGTCATAGTTAAGGGTTCCTTGCACGTATGTTAGTACTCTTCGTGCAGTTCCCAAATGCTTCTTGGTGGGACTATTCATGAACCTTGATAACAAACTTGCAGCATACATCAGGTCAGGTCTAGTTGCTGTCAAATACAATAGACTTCCCACTATTTTCCTGTAAAGTCCTTCATCAGCTAATTCACTCCCATCCACTTTCTTTAGCTTTTCACCAGTAGGCAAAGGAATAGACACTGGTTTGCAATCTTCGAGCCCAAATTTCACAAGTAAGGACTTAGCATACTTACTTTGGTGTATGAACACACCTTGATCAGTTTGCAATATTCCCATGCCTAAGAAGTGATGTAGAAGGCCGAGATCAGACATTTCATATCTTTCCATCATTTCCTTTTTGAATTCACTGAGCATCTTGTCACTACTTCCAGTATATATAATGTCATCAACATAGATTGACACAATTATCAATCCTCCTTCATCATCAGATCTTGTATATAGTGTGGCTTCACTTGTGCTCCTTTTGAACTTGCACAGTGAGAGATATGCATCAATCTCACTGTACCAGGCTCTAGGTGCCTGTTTAAGTCCATATAGGGCCTTCCTTAACTTATAGACCTTGTGACCTGCATTTGCCAACTCAAAGCCCTCAGGCTGCTCAACATACACTTCTTCCTCAAGTACACCATTTAAAAATGCTGACTTAACATCCAACTGAAATAGCTTCCAACCTTTTTGTGCTGCAAGAGCAATGAGAGTTCGAATTGTGTCTAGCCTTGCCACTGGTGCAAAGGTTTCATTGTAGTCAATCCCAGGTTTCTGTGCATACCCTTTTGCTACAAGCCTAGCCTTGTGTTTTTGAACCGTTCCATCCAAGTTAAGCTTAGTTTTAAACACCCATTTCACACCTATAACTGGTTTATCAACTGGTCTCTCAACAAGTTCCCAAGTATTGTTCTTTTCAATCATCTCCAACTCTGCATTCATAGCTTCTTGCCAGGCTTTATCACCTACTGCTTCTTGGTAGTTCTCTGGTTCTATAATACACATGTGACATCTTGCATATATATCTTCCAGAGTTCTGATCTTTACTGGAGTGGAGCTAGGTGTTGAGCCTTGGCTGTGACTTCCACTCATCTCCTCAACTGATTCATTAACAGTGGTGTTTGAATGAGTATCTCCAGCATTATTAAACTGATTTACATCAGTTTGTTCTTCACTAACTTCATTTTCTGCTCAATTCCCTTCAAGATTGAAAGGTATTGAGATAGACTCCCCTTGGTTACTTTCCCACTTCCATGATTTGTCTTCACTGAAAATCACACTCCTTGAGAGTACAATTTTCTTAGATTGCAGATCATACACTCTATATCCCTTTTCACAGCTTCCATATCCCATGAAGATCCCCTTTCTGGTTTTGTCATCAAATTTCTGCCTCAAGGGTGATGGGACATGAGTATAACAGATACAACCAAATACTTTCAGATGCTTAATTCCAGGCTTCCTACCTGTGAAAGCTTCGAAAGGTGTTTTATCTATCACAGATGTTGTGAAGCATCTATTTTGGAGATATACAGCTGTACTCACAGCTTCTGCCCAGAAAATCACAGGGACTCCTTTCTCAGTCATCATAGATCTTGCCATCTCACAAATTGTTCTGTTCCTTCTCAGCAACTCCATTTTGCTGAGGAGAATAGGCAATGGTTAGTTGTCTCTCCATTCCCATGCTTGTACAGTAATCCAGGAACTCATGTGAGGTGTATTCACCACCTCTATCACTCCTTAATTTCTTCAAACTAAAGCCACTTTGCAGTTCAACAAAAGCTTTGAATTTTTTGAACACATTGAAGGTATCAGATTTATTTCTGAGAAAGTAAACCCAACACATTCTTGAGAAATCATCAATGAATGTGATGAAATACCTATTCCCTCCAATGGACTCATTTTGCATTGGTCCACACAAATCTGTGTGTACCAACTCAAGTGGATAGCTTGCTCTCCACACTTTTCCTTTGTCAAATGACTCTTTGTGATGTTTCCCTGAAACACAACCTTCACACACATCTTCCATTTCTGTCAAAGCAGGTAATCCAAGTACCATTTCCTTCTGTTGCATCTTCTTCATGCTAGCAAAGTTCAAGTGTCCAAACCTTCTGTGCCAGGTCCAAGAGTCTTCAATTACTGATGCTTTTCTTGCTGCAGGTGTCATAGATTCTAGTGACAGAGGGAAACATCGATTTCCTGTCATGATCACCTTTGCTACAACATTGTTGAGGCTCCTATCATCAAAGATAACTGCCATATTACCTCCAAATAGAACATAGTATCCATGCTCCATCATCTGGCCTACACTTAGTAAATTCTCATCCAAACCTGGAACCAGCAATACTTCATTTATGTATCTTTTCCCATGCTGTGTTTCAACCACCAGAGTGCCTTTTCCAGTTGCTTGTACAAGGTCTCCAGTGCCCATTTTGACTTTACAAGATACAGATCTGTCAATGTTGATTAACACAGACTCTTGAGATGTCATGTGATTACTGCAGGCACTGTCCACAAACCATACACTTCTATCTTGCATAATTGAAGAGTGACAAGCATAGAACATGGTTCCTATGGTTACCTCTTCTTCTTTTGCACAGTTAGCTACTTGCTTGTGACTATCACAGTCTTTTGCAATATGTCCAAATCGGTTGCATTTTCCACACTTGGCTTTTCCTTTGTATCTGCACACACCGAAATGGTATTTCTGACAAACTTGACACTGTGGTTTCACACAACTTTGACTACTACTTCCTTGCTTGTTCTGAGAGTTGAATCTATTGTTCCAATTTCCTCCAGAATTGTTGTTCCAGTTTGAGCCATTATTGTTGCTCAAGTTTCCACTTTGAGACCAATTTGATCCCTTTTTGTATTGTCCCTGCCACTTTTGATTTGGTCTACTCTGTGACCCCTTGTAGGTACCCGAAGCTTGGTTATTTCCAACTCTTAGGCTACTAAAGGCTCTCTCAGTTCCTATCAATTTATCCCTTTCATCATGCAGATCTTCCCTTTTATCATAAACTTTGACAGATGCAATGACTTCTTCAACTCTAATAGCATCAAGGTCTCGAGTTTCCTCGATAATGGACACAATGGATTTATACCACCTACTTAGACTCATTAACAATTTCTGCACAATTCTTTGTTCAGTCACATCTTCACCAAGGGATTTCAGATTGTTCACAATTCCAAAAAACCTACCCAAATAGTCATCTAGGTTTTCACTATCTATCATTCTCATATACTCAAAATCAGCCCTAACTGCTTGAAGTTTTACAGCTCTTACCTTTTTATCTCCTCTGAACTCTCTTCTCAGAATGTCCCATGCCCCTTTTGCAGTCTTCTCATTTCTGATGCGAGGGAAAAGCTCATCGGTTATGGCTCCTTGTATAAGACTCAGCGCCTTGGCATTCTTTATTCTGTCTTCTCTGGAGATGGTAGGTGCTTCCACTGGAACTTGCTCAGCCTCACTACCTTCATCTCCAGAATCTTCTTCCTCCTCGAGAATCGGCTGTGGTTGTACTCCAATCTCTACTACATCCCATAGGTCATGCGCTATGAGGATAGTCTCCATCTTGACTGCCCAAAAATCATAGTTTGCACCATCAAACTGTGGAGTTCGTAAATCTCCACCTGAAGAACCTGATCCCACCATTTTCTTGGTGAATACCAGTGAACCAACAATAAAGGAACCACCTTTATCCCCTTTTGGGAATTTTTCAGGAAGAACCTCTCTCACAGTTTCACGCCCCTCTCTGGAATCAGACCTAGTGCTCTGATACCATGTTGAAATGGTATCGGGCTTTATACTTTAGGTTGATTAATACACAAAGATTGAAGCTTTAAAAACCAGAAAATCTAAGAAGGAAGAGCACAGAGAGTAAGAGAATGTTTCTGTATATTTTTCTATATCTCAGAAAAAAAAGCAGAGAATACAATCTTATATTCCACTAATCAGTCAAATGCTAAGATCCTATTTTTCAGGTAGCAAGGACTCATCTCCAGCCATACATACCATCGGAGGCCACGATCCTTCCACTTGGAGAAGGATCGGGTAACACAGTACATCCCAAAACAGATAAGAATAACAGCTGTAAGGTTTCTAAAACAAGAATTAAAACTAGCCGTTACAAGTTTAAAAAGCTAATGGCTATTTCTAAAAATAGCAGTTCTTCATCTTTTCGAATTCTTCATTCTCTTCACTTTCAACCTGCAGGATTGTCATCTGCAAGTTGATTTAAGCTTAGTATGCAGCTTAATTCTCAACATCTTTACTTCGGGGGATGAAACTCCATAGAATATGATGTAAGGGTTAATTATAAAGGTTTTTAGGGATTTTGTTAACTTTAGGGGATAAAAATCCATGGAATCTGAACAAATTTGTTTGAACGAGTGCAATTAATTAGTTCCTTTTAAATTCTACAAATAATGTCATGCATGCCTTTCTTTTTCAGGGTGCAAATTTAGATATAAATCTGCATATATAAACGAGGAGGAGGAGGATGATGGCTGCAGGAAATGGACAATTGACGGTTCCTCCAGGGTTCCGATTCCATCCGACAGATGAGGAGCTTCTCTACTATTACCTCAGGAAGAAAGTGTCTTATGAAGCCATCGACCTTGATGTTATTGGGGAGGTGGATCTCAACAAACTCGAACCCTGGGACCTCAAAGGTGAGATTATATTTAGGGTTTTCACAAAAGCTGTTCTTAACACTTCAAAAAAGTCGTTGCGCACTCCTTCATATGTCCAAATGCAATTTCCTTCTTATATTTCTACATATCCTGAGCTCATTACACAGACATATATGACTGTAAATTTTGGTAATAATTGTTAATTTTGTGCATGCAGAGAAATGCAGAATAGGGTCAGGGCCTCAGAATGAGTGGTACTTCTTCAGCCACAAGGATAAGAAATATCCAACAGGAACTCGTACAAACCGCGCAACCACAGCTGGGTTTTGGAAGGCAACTGGGAGAGACAAAGCGATCCACCTCACCAGCTCCAAGAGAATTGGCATGAGGAAAACCCTAGTCTTTTACACTGGCCGCGCTCCCCATGGCCAAAAGACCGACTGGATCATGCACGAGTATCGCCTCGAAGATGATAACATTACTGCTGATCAAGTTCAGGTAAAATATTGAAGTACAATTAATGTTTAAACACCACATTTGTTATTAGATTGCTTGACTGAATCACATTATATATGAGATGGAAAATAATTTCTGCACAGTTTTCAGTTCAAATGTTGAAAAGGAAGAAGGTGTGCGTCTAAAAAAGTGTGAAAATCCATTTCCCTTAATTGATACATGATGTGTCAATTTATCGAATGTCATTTTAATTTGATGCAACAAGTGGATCTGATTGCATGTCACATCAAATAATGCGGTTTACTCGTGTCGATGTTCGAAATAACTAATATGTTATACTTTAATTTGATTCAGCAGGAAGATGGATGGGTGGTATGTAGGGTTTTCAAGAAGAAGAATCACAACAAAGGTTATCAACCAGAATTTGCTCATCATCAAGATCATCAAGAGCACGAACACTTCACGAACATGAAGGCAAGTGGTTCTCATGCCCCGATACTACTAGATCATCACGATCATCATCAGCAAAAACAAAATCACCATCGTCTGGAAGGACTATATGATTATCCTAGTAGCTTTGATCACGCTGGATCCATGCACCTCCCACAGCTGTTCAGTCCAGAGTCGGCTGTCGCTGCTTCATCCTTTGTATCACCGCACAATATCAACTTGAACACGATGGACATTGAGTGTTCCCAAAACCTGTTAAGGCTAACATCCACCGCCGCCGCGGCAGCTGCAGCAGCATCTGGTAGTTGTGGACTCGTGCAACAGCAGGAGAGGTCCTTCATCAGTGGTGGTGATTGGTCATTCTTGGACAAGCTCCTTGCATCTCATCAGAACCTCGATATTAATCACTCAACGTCGCAAACCAAATGCAACCCTTCTTCATCGACTCAACAACTTAGTAACTCTCATGATCATGATCATGTGGGTACTTCATCATCAACGCAGCAGAGATTCCCATTTCAATACCTTGGGTGCGGAACTGACTTCTTAAAATTTTCCAAGTAGCTAGCTAAGGCGGCTAGGGCTCTACAAACCCGCAAAGTCGCGGATCGATGGATACAGTGTACTTCATGCATGGATGGATGTCCATCCTATATCATTAAGCTGTACGGCAGTCTTTTTCAGTCTTAATTGTTTTGGTAGTTATATTACAAACTTGGCTCAGATTCTATATCCTTTCCTAATTAATTTATTACTTCTCCTTTGGCATCAAAATGTATATAACTAAATTCAAACAAGAACGAAATTCTCTTTCAAAAATACCTGGTAGCTTCCAATATATATATATATATATTTATTCTAGCTAGTTTGAAATAAATTTCCATTACTACAAGAAAAACAGATTATAACCACTACAATTCACAAAATGAGGTGGGTATAAAAGACATATCAATAGCTAATCGAGTAATTCAAAGACATATCAATGGCTACTGATCGTCTTCTAACCCACCTTATTATGTACAACTAATATTAGTGACTACTGCTAGTTTGTTTTAGTGCAGATAATTAGTGACTACTGCTAGTTTATTTTAGTGCATATAAATTTATGTACATTCCTTTCTTTTAGGTAGCTAGTGTTAGGTTCTACATGATCTTCGATATATTTATCGTCAAATTCGGTCATTAACTTGCGGATTGAAGGTCGAACCATGTCCATGTCCATGTTTGCATACGCGCACAAATGTACATTGACAAGGCTTAAACTTTGGTCACCAATTAGGCTCAACGGAACGGTCCACCAAAATTGATGGATAAGGCCTGGAAACCCGCCCCCAAAATAAAGCTATATAAGGAAAGGTCTGATATCTCCATCTCCTTACTCTCAAGATTAAATTATATATATATATATATGAGGAAATATGGAAGTGTCTCGCCATCTCCAACTCCCGCACTTTCCCTTATATATGTGTCAAACTTTTCCACAGACAATTGAACTAGGACTGAATTAAGTGTTTGGTCATACACGCGCGCGCGCTCGCACACACACACATACAAGCTGCCTGTTACGTAAGGTGAACATATATATCCATACTGAGCCTTCATCGATCATGCTAGAGCTAGGGTTCATCATCATTTTGCTCGGTCGAGGAATGCTTTTGCACAGCGAAAAGCTTTAGAATATTATTTTCTGTTGCTTGTTTCTGTTCAATTGTTTTGTTACTTTGCGTGTCATTTCATTGTTATAAAATATTAGTATTTATGATTATTTGAGTTTGATTGTTTAGTTAGTATATGGGTAGCCCATCCGAATTAAGGTTTCTAGGTTTTACTCTCTATACATATAGCTTATAGTTTAGCATGAATAACAAATTAGTCACGATGTAACCTTTTAGGCTTTTGTAGCCGTTCCGACATTTTTATCTATTAATAATAATATTATTATTTTGTAGTCTTATTCGTTGCACACTCTAATATTCAACTTGGTTGGTATCAGAGTAGGTTTGATTCTTCGGGATTTAATGTGCTTTTTTCAGTATCAGTTTGGGCTGGTTTGGTATTGCTGCTTTGAAAAAAAACTGATGTGAGAATAAGCGGCTGTGTTGTGAGAATAAGCGGCTGTGAAATAAAGCCAGTAGAGTGTTTGGTAAACTTTTTTGTGAAAGTGCTTTTGGAAAAAAAAGCAGGATGATAGTGTGTCTTTTCATTAAAGGAGCACTATAGCTCCGTGTGCTTTGAAAAAACTGGCTTTTTTTCAAAGCAGCAAATATCAACTTCAGCTTTTCCTTTGATTTTCAGCTTATTCTCACAGCAGCTTCCAAAATAAGCCATTTTTTTCAGTTTACCAAACACAAAAATGACCCTCAGCTTTTTTTCACAGTGGCTTTTTTTAAAATCACCTCAATCCCAAACGGGGCCTTTGTCTTGTCGCTGTTAGTTTGAAAGGAAAAAAAAAAGTTGTAGTCAACTCGCATGCCATCTCTGCAATTTTCATCGAAACCCTCACGTCGTACCTGACCTGACATCATCGCACCCCATCACCATCCACCCATGTTGCTGTTGCAATCAGGAACCCAGAACCTGACCCACTGGTTCGTATTCATACCATCACCCAGATCCGATTGACCCAGGATTGCATGCCGCTGCTCATCACATCCTTGTTGCACTGCTGCACAGACGACCACCGCACAACCGCTGTACCACAAACATTACTGCACGCATGGTAAGATGGTCGCCTGATTGATACCTCCTCCGCACCCGACCCGCTTGTCGCCTGCATCCACTGCCCCACACCACCGTTGCTGCTCGACCCAAGAACACCAAACTCGGATCGAGTTCGTCCTTGCCTTCGAGAAATTTTTAGTTGTAACGGGAACATGAGTTGTACGTGTTTTTATGTAAATAATAAAAAAAATTATTTTTTAAATTATTTAACTTTTTAACGTACATATGCTAATTATATAAGGAGGTTTACAATCCCGTGTGACGAAAAATTTCTCCTCGCCTTGTACTCTGCCGCAGACTCATTGCCAAAAGAAAAATGAAATTGGTTGAGAATTTGGCCCACACACGAGAAAAGATTATAAAAATAAAAAAAAAATTAAAAAAAAAGCAAAGGAAAGAAAAAAAAGAAAAAGAAAAAGGAAAAGAAATATTTGGCTGTTTGTTTTGGCCCACACGGGCAAACTGATAAAATGGTTAAGTTTGTTTTTAGGTCCACACGGTTGTTGGCCTGTTTGGAATTCTTTTGTGACAGTTACTCGAGTATTTTGATTTGTGACCACTTACGTAATAGTATTTTATTTTTGTTTGTTCTTGCTACAATTGAGATATGGAAATCTCGTCCGTTTAATGACGGGTTCTTTTCATACACTCAACACTAGCCAGTCTGAATCATAATCAGTTTGCAAGCCAAAATCAACTTGCCAACAAGAATCGGTTTGCCAAGTCCAGTTCGCTAGTTTGCTAGTCAAGTCCAGTCAAGTTTGCACGTCTACCAATCCGCCTAACGAAGCCAGTCTGCATCTACTTGTTTGCAAACTCATGTCGTATACCGCCATGAGTTTGACCTGGGGGGTTGGAAAATATTAGTATTTTATGATTATTTGAGTTTGCTTGTTAGTTAGTATATGGGCATAGCCCATCCGAATTAGGGTTTCTAGGTTTTGCTCTCTATAAATATAGCTTATAATTTAGCATGAATAACAAGTTAGTCACGATGTAGTCTCTTAGGGTTTTGTAACCGTTCTGACATTTTTGTCTATTAATAATATTCTTATTATTTTGTAATTTTGTTTGTTGCACACTCTGATATTCAACTTTCCTGAATTGCAATGCTATCTCATATATCTTGCCTAGTTGTGACAAGGTGTACAATATAAATGACAACTTGGTTATATGCATGTGAAAATCTCTCTTCATTTTTATGATGAGTTGCAATTTCATTTTTGTTGGGAAGCTAGTAACATTCTCACTTGAACTTTTTTTTATATCTTTTTGGCTGTTCTTCTAATCATACAATGTTGTTAATGAATTGTACCGTTTTACTTTTTATATAGCACTCTTTAAAGATCAACAGTGTAAAAATTCTATATCACCCTTTTTGTTATATCTTTTTGGCTATTCTTCTTATCATGCAATGTTGTTGATGATCTGTATATCACCCTTTAAAGATCAACACGGTAAAAATTTTACCAAATCAGAAATTGTTTAACCGTTCGATTAACATTGACCAAAATTCAATGTTCAAGTGAGAAGCATGGTATATCTATTTATTAGATAACCATTAGATGACTAAATGATTTTATACTTAGTTAGCTTTTTGCAGAGATGACCAATTAACTAGTAATCAAGAAAATAAACAGTTCTAATAATCGTTAAAAAATGAGAAAGAAAAACGAGAAGGTCCAATAAAAAACTTTCCAGGATTCGTCTTTTTTATTTTACGACGGAAGAGAATTGAATTCTCACCCAATCTGATCCGATACTCTTGCTTGATCTGGCTCAACTAACTTTAAATATGTAAGGCTTTTAAATCCTATTAAAAATTATTGGTTTCAACATTCTCCACGTTACCTACAGAAAATTGAGTTCTTTTTCACTTTTTCAACAGACACACGCATGCCAGTGGGACATTATGATGTGCCTAATATGATACTGTAAGACCCTTAATCATAATCACCAAGACCAAAACATGAACTACAACTTAGAGAGAAATATTCAGTTTATGTATATGAGAAACACAGCAAGAAGAACATACCTGCACCTGTAGCAGAACCCGAAGCCATAGCAGCAAGCTTTCAGTGTGCCTTCTCTTCTCTCGCAGATTATCAAGAGCTCGACTTACAAATAGGATTAAGTCCGAAATTATGAGCATGTTTCTGTGAGAAGAGAGGCCACTATATATATACATATAATCTTTACCATAACTGATTAGGATTCCCTATCAAAATCCATACAGGAAACAAATTCCTATTTCCTTGTTCTTATCTCAATGCTGCACAAAACCCCTCTCCAAAAGGGATTAGCATTCCTTTTATTAACAAGACTTTTCTATCTAATTGAACACCTATAGCCGGTCCTAAAACTCCTCTATCTCATACTCACATTCTTACATTCTCCCACTTGAGTATGAGAACAGTTTCAAGTACTCAGCCAAGTCAATTATTTTCAGATAGAAGTGATCACTAAGCCTGTTAATAAAAATTTCAATCACAACCAGCTATCATACATCTCAAAATGCAGAACGCTTGTAACTGTATTACCACAATAAAGCAAACAGTTTTTCAAGAGTCACAGACATTCAATTTGTATGCTCAACGTTGTGAACTTGATCAATATCAGCAAATAAGCAAATTAATTTGCTCCCACTATTTCAAACCATTGTCAGCAAGATGTAAAATAAATCTTTGCTTCAAAACAATGCATGAATTAACAATTCATCTATAAATGCTTTAAACAGATAAACCATTATAAAAGCAACAAATGAATTATATCAAACTTTATTTTTTGAAACAATAGATCATCATTACTGATCTCAATTCGATAAAATAAACAAAACAAAACTAACAAACCTAATAATATCAATATCCAGCCATAAGCTTTTAAAATTTGGAAATTGAAACCTGTCTATATCACTGCACCAGCTCTCTGAACTTCACAGCAGCAAATGAACAATCATAATCAGACTAACAAATCACTCCCACTGATCAAATGATTCAAGTATTCCCATCCGAGAGACATGAGTTTTAAATACTCCAATCGGCAATGCCTTAGTCAAGGGATCCGCAATCATTGCATT